TATTTTAACCAATAAAAACACTTGGTTTGGCCACAAGCTATGGATTGTTGTTTTACTGGTGGTTAAACAAACGACCAAACAAAAAAAATCTACATTTGAGAAATGAGGACATGAATAAATAAATACATTTAATAATTAAATTCGTCAGTTTAAATTTTAAAAAGTACTTTAAAAAGGACTACTTTTATTTATTTCAGGGGACTTTTATTTCTTAAAGCCTCATTTATGTATGTCAGGATTTATGTCATAGCAGTGTTTATTTTTTCTACAAAAATATTTATTTCTGCATTATTTATTACATTTTTAATAAAACATTGTTCCATGACAATCTGAAGTACAGAGCAGATAAAATAATGCAGAGACAAGGATATTTGTGCTCACGTTTTTACACAACACTAGCATGGTAACCCATGGCTATGGAAGTTGTGTCTTTGGATCCCAGTATTTAGTGTGATTATTTAATTATACTATATGCTTATCATATTGTTCAATTGTATGTCCCTGATTATAAGACATTAACAATTTTAGGAGTCAAAGACACTTTCTAGTTAGAAAGTAAATTATATCAGATCATGTTAGACTTGGCACCAAAATAGAAAGAAGAGCAGGCAAAAAGGTTATATTATTCTTATTCTTATTATTTGATGATGATTATTATTACTAGTAGATTTAATTCTTCTACTCGACTTAGAGTTTTGATTTACATACTCATCTTTTCCTCCAGGTTGAGTCGGATCCTGTCAGTCTGTGAAGATGCCAGCTGGTGTCTCTTGGCCTCGGTACGTCAGGATGTTTGCAGCCAGTATTCTGGCCATGTTTGCTGGAGCACAGGCCGTCCACCAGTACTACCTACCTGATCTGGTGAGGGACAAAGTCAAACTTTTCTGACAATGTTTTAGGTACATGCTCTGTAGTTACAATCAATAAACAACGCTGTCGAATGTTTGGATGCAAAAAATTTAAATAGTACAGTCATGCAGCAGTAATGTACATATGACAGACTGGGACTTCATAGTGCTGCTGTTTGGTATTTGTTCTTGTATAGATCCCATTTTCAACAGCCGTAATGATTCCATTCAGTCTGTATTTTCTTGCACTTCCCAATATGCCATTTCACAGCTACCACACAGCAGATGTAAAAGTGTTACTTTTACTAAAACATTCTCCTTTTTCCTGATTATCCAGAGGGGAATAATCTGTCAGCTTGTTTAGCACTGCTGTGTCAGTATCTTCTCTAAAAGAAACAAAGAAACAAAAACACAGGACATGCTAAAGACCAACTTTTACTGTGGATGCTTTACATTGATAAAAGTTTTTTTTAATTTTGTATTTCAGCTTCAGCTAGAATATGTTGATGTAATACCATGTTATCAAAAGTTGTCCCGTTATGTGTTTAACAGTGCTTTCTGTTGTTGCATCTTTCAGAGTATACCAGAAGTCCCACCTAAGCCTGGGGAGCTTAGGACAGAACTACAAGGCTTCAAAATCAGAGAAGAAGCCTTACAGCAGCTTAAAGCAGAGCAACGTGTGGACTAATGTGCAACTGTACTTGCTCTGCGTAATGGACGCTCACCAGAACAATGTCCAGTTCTTGCCAACAGATAAAGGCTGCAGCGTACCAGGGAGTATCGACATTTCTGGGATGTCTGCAAATGATTATTTTCTGTGATTACCATTTTCTTCCAATGGACCTAACAGGAATGGAATAATTTGCTACTCCAACAGTTGGCCGTCCGAGACAAGGATCTTATCTGGAGCTCATGTGTTGTTCATATGTCTCTTCATTCTTTTTGTGTTTGCTTCTTTTGAAGGAGGAATGAAATCTGTAAATGAGTAGTGACTAAAGTCAGAAATGAGTTAATGACTTCCATTCAACAGATGAAATGTATTTTAAATAAAAATATCAAACCGTAATTTTGTCAGTACTTTGTGGTAAATGTCAGTGATTTAAGCAAAAAAATGAAAATATTTATAAAAAGGTTAACATCCCACTAGGATGTGGTTGGTACACAGAGCCACCATCTTTAGCATCATTTATCATGCAAAGCTGCCAAACATGGACAGTTTACATCTTTGGAAATGGGAAGATTTTACAGCTTTCTCTTTATTCTATCATTGTAAATCAAATACATTTGGGTTTGGCATGCTTGGGCAGAAAGCAAGCAGCGTAGCAAATTGGTACTGACATTTACTCTTCAACTCTGCTACATTTCAAAAACAAATATTGTACGTTCTACCCCACTACATTGATTCAACAGTTTTAAAATGAAAGTGAAAATTTTGCACAATGTAAATATAAAAAGCTTTTAAAATGCAACACATTATCAAAGATTGAATTAGTGGTTTCCAACATTTCTGACTTCTGACATCTTACAAATTTCAGTGTGTAGCCAGAGTTACAGACTTGATGTCGATGAGTTGTTAACACCTCCACTAAATTCACATTTTCCCTCAAAACTTTTTACATGATTTCATTTCAATAAGTGTTCAAATGACCCAATATTTTACCAAAAATCAAACATGAGAGAAAACCTGAAAACATATTTTCTTTCTTTCTTTCCGCTCCCAATAATCATGTGACAAGATTTATCGTATGTCCCTGTGTAGTAAACTGTACATAAAGTAGTTCAAACTAGCTCCAGCTGCAGCAGATACAACAGTCACGTGCTGCTGACATACTGACGTTTCACTATTAATAATTCGATGATGTATTGTATAATAATATATTAGTCAGCAGTTCATATGTTATATACATCATGCTGTCGTTGTGTATTTACTTTAATATATATATATATATTTTACTTAGCATTGTTTAGGCAGGATTTTTACTTGTCAGCTGGGATAGGCTCCAGCCCCCCACCCGCGACCCTCATGAGGATTCAGCGGTGTATAGGTATTGGATGGATGGGATATGGATGGCGTTTCCTAGCAACGAGGGGAAACAAAAGTTAACGGGAAAAGATGGCGACCAGAGAGCAAGGAGCCGCCGATTACCTGAAGAAACATAAAATTATGGAGCTCATGGAAAACCTGACCAGCATGCTCTTCTATTACAGACCTGGTTAGAGCTTATACAGACACAACACCGTCTCTAATTCTAGTAAAAAAAAAAAAAAGTTGTTGCCATAGCTAGCATGCTAGCTCATATAATGCACACATACGATACTGAAAGCTAATGAAAAAGCCATAACACGGTTTTGGTTATCTGCTCAGCTGCAGTTTATAGCGTCCTTATTTAAGTTATTTCGAGCTGGATTAGAATTCTATCTGTCTGTCTCTCTTCCTCGTAACAGAAACTGAAGGGAAAGAATGAAAAAACAGTTCTAATACAGTATATTGTTTTGCTGTTGTTAGGTTATTTTAAACATTTGGTAGACGTAGCTAAAACTGATGTTGTACGTGTAGGTTATAATGTTAAATTTTGTAAAAACAAACAAACAAACAAACAAAAAACTGTTTCAGAGAGATACTCACCCGAATAAACTAAATCAAAGTTTCAAGATTTTTTATTTACAGCATTCCAAAGCAACATCAGCTGACCAAAATGTTATTCATGCTTTGTTTTTTTTTAAAAATTGAATTGAATTTCCCTTCTGGGATAAATAAAGTATTTTTCATTTCATGCTGTATCACAAGATAAAAGATGAGGCAACATCCAAAATATGTACAAAATGCAGAACAGAAAACAGGATAAATAATGTTAGGTACAGAAAGATTAGGATCACTATTGGTAAATGAAAATGATTCAAAACATGTACATCTTGACATTTTTCTAAAAAATGTAAATGGAGGAGGAACATTTGAGTGGTTATGACACCACAAAAAAGTTTAAAGTTAAAAAAAAACCATTTTATAACTTTATGAACATAGGATTTCTCTGAGGGCTGTACATCGTCTTAGTTTTTGCTACATCGATGCTAATAAACTGGTGACTGCATGCACAATTCTAACTCTCAGACATTAAGCAGAGGTCTGTAGCCTAATATGTAACTTAAAAAAGGTTGCAAAGAGGTTGCCACATCTTTTAACACTGCACAAATGTCATATTACTCTTTTGTTCTTCCTCTAATCTAATATAAAACAGTATCTATTTGTGTTGTTGTATTTGTCAGAATCCTAGTTTCACTGTTGCAGATAACTTCCCTAAAACATCCACCAATGATTTGCCCTTTATTGCTAGAAACAGAATATATTTGCACTATAATACCTATGCATTATCATTCATTGTTTTTTTGTTTTGTTTTTTGTTTCGTTGTTTTTTAGAGAATCCCAGAGAATTTCTTATTGAGATGCTGAAGGTGCTGAAGATTTCTCAACAGTCTGGTGTGAAAGGGCCAAATCTGTTTGATGACTCTAACTTGAATGCAGTCTTAGGGATACTGGACCCTGCAAATCAAAAATACATCACGTTTGCCCAGTACAAGCAGGGTGAGTGCTGGACACTTTTGAGCACAGAGGCAGACACTGCCACATATTCTCAATGTAATTAAATCCAATGTTATTTATTATGACTTCACTGTTCTAGTGTCCCAGAAGAAAAATAATCGACTATATTTTCATGCATTTATTGTCAGGTGTTTATTCAGTGTTTCTGTAGAACCAATAAACGCAATATTTCATATGTAGGAGAGTATTTATTCATTTATCACCTATAGCTACTTCTAACTGACCCAATTATCACTTCATACAGCAAAATATAACATGATAACAGAAATTCTTTTTGGTGAATAATGACACAGGGGACTAATACAGATACTCACAGAACACTTTATCCCCACAGCTCTAACCATACTGGGCATAAAGGACATTAATGAATGTCCTGAGGGCGTAAATGAAGACAGAATATCCCATGAGACATTCAAAATGGAAGCGTAAGAGAAGTTTGTAAAATCTAACAAGCATGTCAGACGATCTTTACCAGTAAAGTGGTGAAGGTAATATTTTTGTCTCATTACAGGAAACAAGGCCTGCAGAGATACTCAGCAACATATGCACAATAGTGACCCTGACGTTTTCTGCCCCTCAGCTCCTATGTTATGTTCTGTTTTGTTGTGTTATGTTATGTTATGTTATGTTATGTTATGTTATGTGGAGTGTAAGGGAATTTCTTCTTAAAGTTTCAAGAAATAGCACCAAGTCAGTTATTGTGTTCGCATCCGAGCTTTGCATTCTGTCCTTGAAGTAGGATTTCCTATTTGTTTCTGTAATGTTGAATTATATATAAAAAAAGAGCAAAAATCCATCTTTCCATTGCACTTGCACACAAGTTGTCACTGTAAAGTTGTAGGGGTTTAGTTTGATGTATGGACCTAATCTGCCAATAAATGAAAGCCAAAAAAGGCACAAATGTTACAATTTTTTTTTTTTTTTTTTAACTACTGTAGTTATTAGAGTTTGCCATGTTCTCTAAATCACCATATCGATGCTTAAAATGATTCTTATCGCATTATTGTTCTTGTAACATCCCACCAGAAAACATCATACACTTTACTGAAACGTAAATCCTTGCAGTGTGTTTTAGCTTCTTTATGCAGCGTTGCTGTGTTGAACGCGCCCCGGCAGGAGGCGTGGTCAGGAAATGACATGGCCGCCTCCTTATACGGAGGTCCCTCGCCTTTCTCCGGTTACTTGTAGGTTAAATTAGTTTGTCTTTTTCCACGGAAGTTTCTACTGTATTTCCCGGGACATCGCCCTGCGGAGCTCAGCATGGGCACCGTCCACGCCAGGGTAAGGAGAAGTCCGCTGAACGTGTTCGCTGCGAGTTTGACCTCTCTGTGTGCACTGAGTTTATCTGGCAGAGCGGCTGCTGTTCTGCATGGACAGGCCCCACACTGGAGCCCTCAGCAACACACTGCATCTAGCTAGACCACAACAGGCTCAAGTTAATGCTGCGGAAAGTGCGTTTTTGACACCTTACGGTTAAAGATGCCGGCTGTGTATTCCAGTCACTGACAATAGCTTAGGATGCTAGTGGTGCTTCCATTCATTGATGTCTCACTAAAGCAGCTTGTGTTTCCCTCTCTAGAGTTAATGATTACATCGCCTTTATTTATCTCGTACAGTTGTGTCGACAAGGTTTTAGAAATACTGAACGCATATGTGGAGCCCCAGACAAATATGAAGCTGTCAATGAATGTTATTGTGGTACAAGTAATTACAATTTAGTGTAAAGGGAAGCAAAGACTTTTCTTTTTCATGGGTGTCATTAGTTTGTTTTTGCACATATTTAATCATGTATTTAGTCCCTGTTTCCCGTTACATTCCCCATTTTCCTTAAGATCCTTGAGATGAACATGTCACCAACCAGTGTTGCATTTTCTAAATTCTTTTAGACATTTTTTTTAACTGGGTGGATTTTTGCTTAAGAATGGCTTAGCTCATAATTTTCACAAGTTACAAACAAAATGTCAGTAACAATTTTTTATAGTTTTGATAGTTGAGTGTTTGTAGTTTTATTATGCAGATGTTAATCAGTTATTTTCATTTTTTGTTTCTCCTCTCTGTTTTATAATAGTGTAAACTGAATTCCTTTGGCTTTATTGGTTTATTGGTCAGTAGGTCAATAAACAAGACATTTGAAAGTGCCATCTTAGACTTTCAAAAACTGTGGAGCACTTTATTTTGTTACACTAAGTGTGAACTTATTGTGACATGTTGCATGTTGTGTTATTGAAACTCCCCCTATGAATACCTAAAATGTAAAGAAATATTTCCAAGGGTGGGTCTTCAGTGTTCTCTACAGCCTTGATCTTGTAGTCTATTTTTGAAAACCTATTTAAATTTCTTTAACTTTTGTTTTTAACACTGTGTGAAGTAATTGTGATTCTACTTGTTTTTCTGATGTTTTGTGCTGCAGAGCCTGGACCCTCTGCCCATGCACGGGCCAGAGTTAGGAGTTCACGCAGACGACATTGATGCTCCAGAAATTGACCATGAGCCGAAGCAAGAAGTTCTTGAAAACAAGGATGTGAGTGTATTTTGTTCCACACAGTAATTACAAAAGACTCTGATTAGCACTTTTACATGACACAACTATCTCCACACGCTGTTTGCACTTTGCCTGAGAGATTCCTGAATTTATATCCATACAGTAGTTTAATATGAAATAGCCACTTAGAAAATATATACATGTGATGGCTATGAATTAATCTGTTGATGCTATGAAATCTAAAACACAGTCTGAGAAGCCAGCAGCTTTAATGTATGTAAAATCATTTTCTAGATGTAATGAGCTGCATCATTATATCTGGCTGAATGCAACTGAATATCTACTGCATTTTGTCTTCCATGGTCATAATATTTCTTGGCCTTTCTGTCTCTCTTGCTTTTCAGGTTGTGGTTCAACGAGTGCACATAGACGGGCTTGGAAGAACCAAGGAGGACCTGCTGACTTATGAAATAGCAGAAGTTTTCCGGGCAAAGAACTTGATCGATGTAGGCGCATGTTAATACAGTTGTGCAATTTAATGCAGGTTCAATTTGTGCTCGTAACTGGCATCAACACATGGTTCAATTTGTCATCCAGGTGATGAGAAGGTCCCACGAAGCCCGACAGAAACTTCTGCGTCTTGGTATCTTCAGAAAAGTGGAAGTTGTTATTGACACCTCAAGAGGTACTGTCAGTCTTTGTGCAGTTTGTAAAAAAAAAAATAGAACACTTATGATTTATACACAGGCTGTTTCCACACTCCTGGGCTTTGTTTGCTGTATGAGCTGGGTCAGTAAAAAATCTCTGGGATAGTAGAAAAAAAAATACTATCTGTGGCTATTTTAACTTGTAACTCACAATGATTGTGCTGTTCTTGTTCATACTTACTACATCGTTTAAATATTCACAGTTCTGATACAAAGTATGTGGACCTGAAGGTAAATAACATTGACAAATGATAACTTTAGTCAGGAGTTGGCAAATCTGAAGTACAATCAGTGAAACAAGAAGAGGTGTGGTTTAGTGCTACTTTGAATCATAAAAACATGTACACATTTTGAGTTTGCTGTTAGCAAGAACATCGTCTGGTATGAGACATGCCTCAGATCTCTAAGGACTTACCATAAAGAAATGGGGATTTACATGAAGCTGGCAGTGAGCTGGATGTACTCTCCATCAGTTTCGATATTCATAAGACTACAGTTATACTTTTTTTTTTTTTTTAGCCTCGAGTGATGCAGCAGGATAATGACCCTAAACATTTTGGTAAATTTACTATAGAATGACTTCAAACAAAGAAAATCCAGTGAGATCCCTGACCATAGCCCAATATCAATAGTATAGAATTGCCTCAAGAAAGTCATTTATTTATGTCTTAAGAATACAGCTGAGCTGAAACAGTTCTCTCAAGAGGAGGGGTCCAAAAACTTCTCCTGTTATCCAGGTCTGATTGCTTGTCTTCAGATAAGATAAAGCTTTATTAATGCAGAAGGAAATTCTTGTGTTAGATAATGTTCAGATAAAAAAAAACAAATAAAAAACAATTAACAGCATAAGCAATGCAGTGCCTAACAGTAAAAAGCAATAAGATATAAGTACAATACATTACTAAAATAAAATAAGTGAGCTAAAATAAGGCTAGAATAGAACAGTAAGAAGTAATGCTGGCAATTTGACAGGGGTAATAAGTAATATCACTCATGATAATGAAAAAAAAAAAGAAGAAAATATTATATTGCACCTGAAATGTAAGTGAAAGTTATTATTGCACTTGTAATCAAAATGTTGCAAATGAAATTGGAATGTTACACATGATAATAAAATATTAAACATGAAACTGAAGTATTATACCAGAGAAATGAAAATATAAAATATTAAACATGACATATTACACATGAAATGAAATGCTACACATGATGCTGAAAGTCATATTGCACAAACTATTGAAGTAAGTAATATTACAATGATATTGCAAATATTGCTGAGATCTAAGAGTCCAGTGTTTTAGCTGTCATTTACTGCAGAAAGGGGAGGAGTTACACAGCTTAAAGGCTACTGTGGCGTTCTGTGCTGCACCTTGGTGGTCTCAGTCTACAGCTGAAGCTGCTCTGATGTGATAACAGTGTGACATGCAGGGGATGAGAGATGTCCATAATACAGAGCAGTTTTCTCAGCAGCCTACCAAACGAGCTCTAACTAGTTATTTAGTTCAAGGATTTAATTACTTTTTCCACCAGCACGGTGACTGTTTTATGGCTGTGATCAATAATAATGCAAAAGATTTTTAGTGGTTGTGTGTTTTTAGCTTCAGCACATTGTGTTTGTGACGTGACTTAAATGAGACTCAGAGCTCATTTTATGACTACTTAATGCAGAAACCCAGGTAATTCCAAAGGACTCACAGGCTTTTTCTTACCACTGTGTCGGCCTTGTAGTTTTAAACTAAACATATAATAGATTTGACTCTTTTTTTTTTTTTTCTTTCTCTTCTCTGTAGGTGAGGATGCTCTTCCTAATGGCCTTGATGTGACCTTTGAGGTCACCGAGCTGAGACGCATGACGGGCAGTTACAACACCATGGTCGGAAACAATGAGGGAAGCATGGTAGGTGCCAGTATCACTACACTGGTTTACCAGTATCATCGGTGAAGACAATTTCAATTTTCTTCAGCATTTGCATTTGACGGTTTTCTTTAGTTTGGTTACCTCCTAAATGCAAAATCACGCTCAAAGAAGCTCTGATCAGGTCTTTAATCTTCTGTCATCTCAGGTACTGGGCCTGAAGTTACCCAATGTGTTTGGCCGGGCAGAAAAACTGACATTCCAGTTTTCCTATGGTACCAAAGAGACGTCCTACGGCCTGTCCTTGTTCAAACCCCAGCCAGGTCACTTTGAGCGCAAGTAAGATATGACCACCTTTGTAAAAATAACTTTGTTATAGTTTAAGGTCTAATGAAATTGAGAAATGTGTGCATGTCCTATGCATCTGTGAGGATGATGACCTGGAACAGGAACCATGTAGAAAAACAATCATACAGTAGAAATTGCAGCACGATCATGGCATGCACAGGCGTCTTTATTTGCTAGAGGATGTCCTGGTATGTGTGCGTGTTAGTTCCATCGGAGGGATGGCGTCTTTATTTGCAATAACAAATGCAGGTCATTTCCCTGCCTTCATTAGTCTGGTGGTTGAGGATTTAGAGGGTAAATGTTTGTGCAGTCAATGCAGGAACTATGAATGGGTTTATTATGTAATTTCATGGGAAAATGCCTTTTTTTTTTTCTTTTCTTTTCTTTTCACTTTCAGTATCTCAGTCAACGTGTACAAAGTAACAGGTCAGTTTCCATGGAGTTCACTGAGGGAGACAGACAGAGGAGTCTCTGCAGAAGTCAGTGTAAGTACTTTATTCAACGTGCCTGAATTGCGTGTTTCTTTCTCTTGCCCCCTGGAACATGGCTGAAGTGAATTAACAAATTTAGGGCACAGTTATTACTTACAGCTGATTGCAGTTGCTATGCTGCCTCAATCGATTAGTTTGGTTGTTCTACTTTGTGATGTTTTAACAAGTTAGTGTTGACCCGATGTTCTAAAACACCAAAGGTACACAGGGGTTGACCAGCAGGACGCCCGGGATCTTTCTGCGTGGAGTTTGCATGTTCTCCCTGTGCAGCGGGGGTTCTCTCCAGGTTCTCCAGCTTCCCCCCACACAGTCCAAAAACATGTTGAGGTTAATTGGTGATTCTAAATTGTCCGTAGGTGTGAGTGTGAGTGTGCTTGGTTGTCTGTCTCTAAGTGTAGCCCTGTGATGGATGGATGAATGTAGTAATGTAATATCCAGTTCCCTATCAGAAAGGGCTGTCTGATAGCAAGGTTAAATGGAAAAAATAATATATATGGTACATTGAAACTGAAGTTTTTAGTTGGGCCTTTTTTAGATGGCCAAAACACATTTTGCAGGTGACTTTGTCCATACCAATACATACTTAACTTCTGTGCTGGTCCTCCTGTCTGCTTCCCCACACTGAGAATGTACTGCCATCTTCTGTGGGTAATATGCTGAGTACCTTATACAACCCTGCTTCAAAGAAACCAAACTATCCCTTCAAGTTGTATTTTTTCATGAATGACTAAATGAGATGAAAAGAACCATAAAAGAAGCCATCAAATGCTTCTATAAGGTACCATGAAGTCCAATTTTCAGCTAGTGTTAGTTCATAAGAGACAAATAGTCTGGACTTTGTTTTGATCAGTTGTCCTGCGCTAGCCTTTGCTAATCCGTTATAGTGGGATAATACTAACACCAATAAGAGCCTTTCACAGAGCCATTGTTCTTCCCGTGCTGTAAGGAGACAACACCTTACAACTTAGTGTATGCTGTATACCGGTTTACTACATTAGATCTATAATAAAACCAAAGTAACAAACTGGTGTGTTATTTACAATTTTTCACCTACAGTTCCCTGTTTGGAAGACCAGCCAAACCCTAAAGTGGGAAGGAGTGTGGAGAGAGCTGGGCTGTCTGGCTCGCACTGCCTCTTTTGCCGTCCGGGAGGAGAGTGGCCATTCCCTCAAGTCCTCACTTTCGGTATTTGTCTTCTCTTCTACATTGAAGATTTTATCAGGAGCTTTGAAATTCCCGTGAAAAAAAGGAACTATAGATCTCACTTCAGCATCGAGGGTGGTGGTGTGCACCTTAATCACAAGTTACAACCTGGTATTCAACAAAATAAGAAGAGCTTTAAAATGCTTGTGTAGTTTCATTAAGTTTTCTGTCAGAAAATTGTTTACAAAGCTGTTATTCGGTGTCAGGTTTTCAAAGCAGATTCACATCAGATTCCAGTAATATTCTCTGGAAGATCATGTATATTGAATTTTAATTATCACGTGAAACGCTGCCAAAGGACTGACACTAGAAGTAAACCAGTATTTAGGTGTAGTTGTGTGAACAGTGTCACTTGGTGTTTCAGCATGCGATGGTCATCGACACCAGAAACTCCTCCATCCTGCCCAGGAGAGGTGGCCTGTTGAAGATTCATCAGGTTTGTTGTTTGCCATTAAATCAAATGCTGTATAAAAACAACATGACTGATCTTGTACTCAAGGTTGATGTTTTGTGTTTGTGTAGGAACTTGCTGGTTACACTGGTGGAGATGCCAGTTTCCTAAAGGAGGACTTTGAGATCCAGCTCAACAAGACACTCTTCTGGGACTCAGTGAGATTTTATTTCTCAGTCATTTAATAAACTGTCCAAACTAAAGACACTTACACAAGCTACCTTAAAGTAGTTTGACATGGCCAGACCATAATTACATATTGGACGATGTAAAAGTATTTGTTTATGTATAAATATAAACATAAATGCAACCTTTACTGTTTATGTCTTTAGACTATTAATGTGCAATGGCTAAGTGCTTGGGAAAGAATTCAAGTTATATGCTCAGGCTTTTGTACAAATTGCCTGTTGGCAGAAATGTTAACTGGACAACCAACAGAGGGATTTTTAGGCATTTAAAAAAAAAACAAAAAACAAAACACGATTGCTTTTGGGATTTTATGCACAAGTCAGCTGTACTAAACCCTTTGACTTTATCTTCCAGGTCCTTTCCACTTCACTTTGGGGCGGTTTGCTTCTACCTATTGGGGAGAAGCCAACTAGCATAGCAGACAGGTACAGAAATACAGCTCACCAGCCTATTACAAATATCAGCCACACCAGGGGTTTTCAAAGTCTGTGCATCAGGGCATCAGACAAAATTATAACCACTTGAGCTTGCTATTTTTCTTTATATATATATATTTTTTTTTTCTACATTCTGGTAAATTGGCAAATTTTAAAGTATGTCAGATGAACTATTAGTTCTTATCTGCACCAATTGATGTATAGAGAAGTAGAATTGGATTGCAGCAATACTTACGAAAGCAATTAGGATACTTGGGTAAGTGCCAGGGCTATAAACAACATAATTTCTCAATGAATTCTATGTGGATTTATGGGTGTTCATTTGCAGTGGACAATATAATATCATCAGAAAGTATACATCAGGGAAGATGTGGGATATTTTTTTTTTTTTAATGCAAATTGCAGCGTTTGGGCTCAAATGTTGCTACTGATACTGCTGACCATGTTGGTGAGCAGGCCAGATCAGCAGCCCAAAATATAGTATCTACTTTCCAATTGTTAATAGAACACGAGCATTCACCTGTTAATTTTGCCTAAAGCAGTCACAGTTTGAAAACCTCTAAACTAGACTGTATAGTCATAAAAAAATAATTTTAATTTAAAAAATCCCTGAATTCACAGAAACACTTAATGGCATTGTTTGCTGTATGTTTTGTGTCTTTGTTGACCTCCTAGGTTCTATCTCGGTGGCCCCACCAGTATCAGGGGATTCAGTATGTACAGTATGGGCCCACAGAGTGAAGGTAAGGCATTACCTTGGCTGAGCTGCCTTGTAACCAGGCTGAAGTTTGTTGGTTATTTGAAAGGTTGTGTGGTGACATTACTGGCATGGCAGGTGACTACCTGGGAGGAGAGGCCTACTGGGCTGGAGGCCTCCACCTCTACACCCCTTTACCCTTCAGACCAGGCAGGGGAGGCTTTGGGGACCTCTTCAGAACGCACTTCTTCCTCAATGCCGGAAATCTTTGTAACCTCAACTATGGTGAGCAGCTAGAAACAGAATGAACAGCAATTGCAGGCTCTAGCTTTTATGGACAAAATCCCAAGTGAATTCTGTTAAATAGGATTGGATTAATTTGAATCTTTATTTTACTGATCTCATGTTCAAGTTTGGGAGGTTTGCATTTTTTGGGCAAAGCAGAGACTAAATTCTATCTACAGGCACCTGCAGATGATCTTGTTTTCTGTCTGGCTGAATTCACATATGTATTTACTCAGGTGAAGGGCCACATGCACATTTGAAGAAACTGGCAGAATGCATCCGTTGGTCATATGGACTGGGCATTGTACTGCGTTTGGGAAACATCGCCAGGCTGGAGCTGAATTACTGCATTCCCATGGGCGTCCAGAGTGGAGACAGGTACTGCTGGTTTGATTGGCTAGTGTTAACTACAATGAATTTTAATTTGCTTGCGAAAGATTTGAGTCATTTTTAAGGTAAACAAAAAGACCAGTATCCTGGTACAAGTAGACAAACAGACCTAGAGCAAACAATCCCATACAGGCTGACTGTAAAGGCGAGTTTCAGTGTAGCTCATACATCTGTTTAACATGTGGAATATATCCAAGAGCTTATCAAGCCAAATGTGGTAAACAGCAGGGCAGTTTGAGAAACTTGCTCTATTGAAGTGAATTGTTATTTGTTTGACAGAAGCTTTTTCTGTGTAATCTCGTACTGTAGAAAACTTGATAACATTATGATGAGAGCGCTCTGTGCCTTACTTTGATACTGATTTCAAAAAATATTCTCTGCTTTCCTTACAGGATATGTGATGGAGTCCAGTTTGGAGCAGGAATCAGATTCTTGTAAAACCATGTCTTTTATGCCAGGTGCATTATGATGGAAGAGGAAAATGCTTGTACAGAATCATTGTTGCAACAAATTAGTTCAATAAAAATGTTTACACCGACCTTTTAATGTGATACATATGTTCTTATCATTAGCTGTTGGAGGTAACATACACTTAGTGAAATTATAGTGAAAAAATTTGTCAGCAGACCTGAACCTGAGTCTGCCACAATATGGACAAGTAGCTTTCAATGGCATGCATTTAAAATTTTAGTGATCTGGATGGATGGATGGATGGATGGATGGATGGATGGATAATGCTCTTAAATTAAAGACTTGTATATTGAAAGCAGTTGAAGTATTTCACAACCAAATTTTAAAGACCAAAATGGTTTGTGCCATGTGGGCATAAATATGCAGCCTCCAAGGCAAGACCAAGGGAGCCACAGCCACTGGAGAAATTTCATTGGCCCCTGCTTTGGCCACCCCAGATATAATAGCTCAAGTTCATCCACTGAACCTCCAATGTTAAAGTTTGAGTGAGGGCAACTATGGTGTCAGTGTGTAAGTTAAAGCAGTTTTGATGACTGCAACCACTTTACCTATGCAAAAAATGTTTTTACTCAAAAAGTAAGAAATAAAAAAAAATAAAAGAAGGATGTATTATGATTAAAAATAAGTTAATTGAGGAATACCCAGAATACTGAATGATTAAATTAATTTATTGCTAAGATATAGCACATAAATTAATTGAATTTCCCTTCTGGGATAAATAAAGTATTTTTCATTTCATTTCATTCATTTCATAAAAACTCCGTCGGGTCACTTTGGACCCATGTGTGCATCAAAGTTCATACAGACCCTCACCGTCATGAGGATGGGAAAGGTTTGCGCCTCCCTGCGGTGGTTCCAGGGAGCGATCACTTTTTACCGCCGCCGGTTAAACTGCGCATCATTTCTGCGCATACTCTAGTGTCACGTGTGTTGTGACTGCCCACGCGGTTCGCTACACCTGCGCATGCGCTGTGCTCATTGTTCCGTAGCATTTTAAGCAGCACACCACAGAGGGAACGTCGCGGGAAGACAGGCGGTCCATTCACGGGCTTCTCGAAATTTCATCTTCCTGTCCCCTTTTCGCACAAAATATCTGTCGATTACACGGCGTTGTTTCTTCTACAGTCGCTTGAGGCGGAGTAAAAGCGACCCTAGAAGGGTTTTCCCGTGTGGTTTTATCAGCGGTCTTATCTGTGAGTGGCAGGTACTTGTACGCACGCTGATGGCGGTCACTATCGAGGATCTTTATCGAAACTACGGGGTCCTTGCTGATGCTAAGGACAACCTCAGCCAGGTAAATAGAGGCCAGCTAGTTTGTATTTGAACACACTGGCAAAGCAACGAAATGCGCTCTTTGTTATCTGGTCACGGTACCTTATTTTGCGTTCACTGGTTGGAACTTTGTTGGCCTACATAACATTGTTTGTGTATGCTAAGCTAACGGTAGCTAGCTAATGTAGTGACCGGGCTAATGTTAATAGCCTCGCCAGGACGACCCTTGCGATACAGAGTACTGAGTTGACACAGTAGGACACTAGCAATTATATAGTCGACCAGGCGGTTATTTTCTACATGTGAACCACTTTTCATTCAAACTGTATTTAGGGAGGCTTAGCTTAGCATAGTTTGTTGATTGAAATTCGTCGCGATACTTCTCATTAAAGATGTTTTCTTGCAGGTCAATGGAGACTTTTTCACTACTCCGTTTGTTAGTCTTCAGGAAAACCATTTACTTCGTTATACATTTGAGTTTTAGTTTGTAACACAGATCACATGTATAATGTTTTAATGTTTTAGCCACATGTGCAAGTCAAGGTACCGTAAATCTTAAGTTTACAATTTAAGTGGTACCACGCTAACTAAAGTCGACCCTACTAGATGTGTCTTTTGGCAAGTACGTCTGGAATTGTTATAAACCCCATATTGTGTACGATGTGTATCAGACATGTTGTGCATGTTCCTTTAACATGTTGTATACCAATACAGGATACCTATTTACCAGTCTGCCAGTTTAAGTTGCAAATAATGGTCAAAGACAGTGAAGTAGAGCCTGAGATACCCTTACTGTACCCTGTAGTAACGATCAAGCTCCAGATAACACTTAATGCTACATTGTCCCGAATAGTCTATAATATGCTCTTCTGTTGCTTATTTCACACTCCTAGTTTATCATGCAGATTTTCTGATATCAGCTTCTCATCTCCTGGTTAATGCCTCTGACTTCCAGGACACAAGCACATACAGTCTTCACATGTATGCTGGAAAATATGTTGAAGATTTATTTGCAAAACATCCCAACATTGGTTGTATTGGCATGCTTCAATGAAGGATCGTGTTGACTGAAAACACATCCTCTGTTGGCAGTGTTTGGCAGTTGTTGTAACTGAGTGAGGGAACTCGATACATTTGTTTAATCATTTAAATCAGCACATAAAGCTCTGTATGATGAGTGCAAATTCAGCTCTGAATGCCATCTAAAGCAAAAACTTATTTTGGATGTCTTTCCAACTGTAACACTATGTTGAAACGGTTCCACATGTCTTTATTCAGATTAAAATTTTATTTTCAATAAGATGCACTCCTTTGCAAAATCACCCCAAAAATGATTCATTCTTTCTGAACAGAAATTCAAGTCATGTGGGTAAAAATACTGTATTTTTTTCATATCTCAATGTGTTTCACAGAAAAACGAAACATCGCAATGCCTGTTTTTTTTTCATGTCATGTTGTTAGATAACTTGTTTAATGATGTACTTTATTTTATTCTGCAGCACAAAGATGCCTACCAAGTAATTCTGGATGGCGTGAAGGGTGGCCCCAAGGAGAAACGCCTGGCAGCACAGTTTATACCCAAGTTCTTTAGCAGCTTTCCAGAGTTGGCTGATGCAGCTATAAACGCCCAGCTTGATCTTTGTGAAGATGAGGATGTGTCTGTGAGTATAAATTGACACACAGTGTGCATAGATGCCAAATCATCATCATCAGTGGCAGAGTTTGTGTTGTTTATTGGATTCATTAGTGTGAACATTACTGACTCTTTGTGTTCCCAGATGGATAAAAGATTTCTTTCCTTGACTGAAGATATTTTTAATAGCAACTCTTATTCTAGCATAACAATGCCCTTTGTGTTTATCTATCCTTGTTCAGATTCGACGTCAGGCCATCAAGGAACTCCCACGGTTTGCAACTGGCGAAAACATCCTTAGAGTTGCTGATATTCTCACCCAGCTACTTCAGACAGGTATTGAATGTTTAATTACCCAATTATCAGTATCATGTGATGCTCTAGCAGTAGTGACAATGTTTGTGAACATTTATTGAAATCTGTATTGTTTATGTCTGTGCCAGATGATACAGCAGAGTTCAACCAAGTGAATGCATCACTTATTTCCATCTTCAAAATGGATGCTAAGGGTAAGTGTTCCTCTACTGCGTTTTCTTTTTTCTTTTTTCTTTTGCTGTTAAAGGTAGTTTCACTGGCCATGTGAAATAAACAAATTAGCTAGGCATTTTTTATTTGTTTGCTTTTGAGCAACTGTTCACAGGAGATTGCTTTTTAAAGTGAATGAATGAAATTGCCACTCCTCATGTATTATATTCATTATGGCGCCAGATCTGAATGACTTTATTTTAGAAATAATCCTTGAGTTGACACAGTCCAATCAACGTCTGTCTTTTCTCATCCAGGTACTCTTGGAGGCCTCTTCTCTCAGATCCTGCAGGGAGAAGACATAGTGCGAGAAAGGGCCATCAAGTTTCTGTCAACCAAACTGAAGACACTGCCAGAGGACGTCATGACAAAGGAGGTGGAGGAGTACGTCTTTGCAGAGACAAAGAAGGTTTGCAGACAGTTTCAAATTGATTAGAAATCGTTCATGTATTGCGTTTTGTTAAATGCTGACTGACAGAAAAAGATCACGCATCAGCGATTAAACATCACAACATATGATGGACTGAATGAGGGTATGTACAGACAGTGCTGATTGTTTTGGCTATGGCTGGTAGTTCTGCTTTTGTTTTGTGAATTAGAGAACTTGACTTTGAATCTTTGATTATGTGACCACTTGTTTTACGAATTTGGTTTGAAAGCCATGGGTTTAACTTATATTTAGAAAAAAAGACAGAAATGAGCTACTGCTGTACTGTGCTACTTAGAAACTCAGCTGTCCTCGTGCTTAGATGGGGTCTAAAATAGTGATGTTGTATTTGGCGAATGTTGACCTGTCTGTGTTAAAACAGATAAGAACACATGTTGATGAAGAGTTTCTTTTCCCTACTGCTTCTTTAGGTGCTGGAGGATGTGACGGGAGAGGAGTTTGTGCTGTTGATGCGTATAGTGTCGGGCCTACGGGTGCTGCAGACAGTAAATGGGCGGCAGCAGCTGGTGGAGCTGGTGGTTGAACAGGCTTTCCTGGAGCAGGCCCTCAACCCAGCTGACCCTGACACCGTGGACCGCCTGCTACAGTGCACGCGCCAAGCCTTACCGCTTTTCTCTGTGAGTAGAACCAAGAGCATGTTATAGTAGAGAGGTTCACGAATGAAAAAATGTCTTAATGTAGAAGTAGTTGTCAAGTTCACTTTTGGTTTTAACTTGTCTCTCCCTTACACCTCTCACTAGTTGTTTTAGTGCACATTGGAGTGGAAACAGTTTTCAATAATAACTGAACACTTATGAGCTTTAAAGAAGAGTTTCTAAGGATTGTATTGTAAGCCTTGTCACACCTTTAAATGTACACCAGTATTAACATCAAACACTTTAATTTGATGGAATACCAAAAAACCACTAGTATTTGAATCCAGTTAATACTTTTGCATATTTCCTAAATTCAGGTACATTGCATACAGTTCGTATATTTCTCCATGTTTTAGTGATTTAGGCATACATTTATTAGTAATCTTAATTTACTGTAACACAGGTGAATGACTTGTTCTTTGTTTTCTGCTGTCTTGTAGAAAAATGTCCATTCCACACGTTTTGTAACCTACTTCTGTGAACATGTCCTGCCCAACCTCAGCGCCCTGACAAGTCCTGTGGCTGAGCTGGACATTCAGTTGGAGGTGAGTTCTTCATTTTACTGTAAATGACTGACTTGCAAATTTTCTTAGTTCTTAATTGACTTTAAAGTGTGAAATATTGTACGTTTTCTGTTTTTACCAGCCTCCACTTAAAGTTGTCCACTGAAAGAGTCAAAGATTTTTATATATAAACATTAATAAGAACTTATGCTGTCTTACAACTACAATATAACTTGTTAGAAATCAATTATTTGATTATTTTTAGCAGTTCTAGAAACCAAAGGGAAGTTTCAGTCAGGTCTCACCAGTATATTTCATTTTCATATTTTATGTGTTGTGTTTTGCCACAACACAAATGTTTGTTTCCTTGTGAACTCAAGCTGCCTCTTGGGCAGGTTGCACATATAAAGTGTTGTTCCATCTGTGCTGGTTTGCCCGAAAACCTTATACTAGTGCTGAATCGTATTTCAAATAATGCCACATGTATTACACAAAAAGACTCACTTCCTGACCTGGATTCATTCAAGCTGAGTCAGCATTGGGAGGCTTGATGAATATGGCCGCTGGTGTGAGGTCGATATTCCTAACGCTTGACATTTGGTGAGCGCTTGTAGTAGTAAACAAAGTCAGCGTGGCAGCCACCTGTCAGAGGTGTCAGCCAACTGCATGTTGTTAATGGGTCATTAGTCTGCACCACGCAACACTGTTTCTCATTAGCAATGCACATTACACTGTGTGTAGAGATTTGCTAAGCTGTGTGTGTTTGTGTCTGTGACTGTGTGTAGGTTCTGAAGCTGTTGGCTGAGATGAGTCCATTTTGTGGAGACATGGAGAAGCTGGAGGCCAACCTCAACATGCTGTTTACCAAGCTGCTGGTAAGAACGGGTTGTCCTATTGTTGTTGGGCAAGAGAAGCAATAAATGGAGATTCACTCAAGTATCAAAAAACACATTGGCAGTTTTCCCATGATTCAGCGATTCATTGCCCTCTTTTTTTTTACCACTTCTTTAATTTACCATCATATTATTGCATGCACACCTGCTAGACACTGACTGGCTTGGTCAGGTTACTGTTGTTGTACCGTGTAAAGTATAACATATTTGCTTTATTTGGTGCCCTTGGCCTGTTGGCTATTTAAACCAAAAACTCCTCAGCACTCTGCCTTGAATAGAAATTGTTGTCAGATACAATTTTTCAATTTAAATAAAAAAAGCACCATTATTACTGGTTATAACTTCTTACAATGACAACTACATCTCCTTTCTCTTTTATAGTGAGACTTTATGAACATGAAATAATTATTTCTTTTAAACATTAACTAGTGGGTTCAAGATGTGTCCTACATCACTGAATGTCTGTTCTCAGTATGTGCAACGCAGACTCGGAGCTTCCACATTACACTTGTTGAAGTTGCCTGATGTACCAGAGTTGATATTGAGAGTAGTTGTGATGTCACAAACTGTGGTTGTAGTTACATGCATTAAACTCGGATTTAAGTTGAGAATTCAGCAAAAGACTTTGAGAACAGACGTCTGATGGTAAATTCAAAGTACAGTGATTCTATTGAAATGTGTCTTCAGTCTTACCCATAAAATATAGAAGTTGTAGTAATTGACAGTTGCCCAAATTGACACAAGTAGGAGTGACTGAAAGGTTCTAATCATGATTTTTCTGTTTTTTCAGGAGTTCATGCCGCTACCACCAGAAGAGGTGGAGAACGGTGAGAACTCTGCAAGTGAGGAACCCAAACTACAGTTCAGCTATGTAGAGTGTCTCCTCTTTGGCTTTCACCAGCTGGGTAAGAAGCTGCCAGACTTCCTCCTTGACAAAGTGGATGCTGAGCGCCTTAAAGACTTCAAGATCAGGTAGGAGAGTGAGTTAAACAGTCTGGAGTTCAATTTGTAAAATGAATCAGCTTATGCCAAAGTGTGCTTTTTATTTACAATTTTTTATGTGCTTGATGTACATCACCCAATTGGACTTTACTGAAAGGCTCATTTTGGTCATTTTGCTGCACTCTTCACATTGAAATTAATGTGTTTTGTGTTTGAACAGGTTACAGTATTTTGCCAGAGGTCTGCAGGTTTACATCAGACAGCTGCGAGTAGCACTGCAAGGAAAGACGGGAGATGCTCTAAAGACAGATGAGGTAACAATAGTCATCTTGTATTTGATTGCTTAGCTGAAAGTAAAAACTTTATAAGTAATCTAATTAACAAAATTCAAACTGACAAAGTTTTGTGCTAAATTTGCAAAGACTAACTTCTCTTTTGTATGCATTTAGAACAAGATCAAAGTGGTGGCTCTCAAGATCACCAACAACATCAACGTCCTTATCAAGGTTTGTTTGTCATCAGTGGTGGAAGAAGTATTCAGACCCTGTGCTCAAGTACTAGCAGCAATAGAGCAACATAAAAATACTCTGTTGCAAGTAAAAATCCTGCATGAAAACAACCCGGCTTAGGAAAAAGCACATAAATATTAGCAGCAAAATGTCGAAGTGTAAGTACTTATTTGGTAATGGGAGAGGAAAGAAGAAAAAACAAAGTTCTGATACACAAATCTGTTTTCAGTTTTTTCTAATCTTGGATTTTTGGTGAGATGTTGGATAATTATCAACATCTATTGAAATGAGACAATGCAAATTACTATTTTGACATCACATAGACACAGACATCTGAAATCTAGACCTGCTGCTATTAGTTTTTTTAATTGATGACAATACGTAGACATCAATATTTTTAAAAGATGAGAAGACACTGAAATGTGTCTCATTAAGACTGCATGTTTACCAAGCTGCTTCTGCGAGCTCAGCTGTATTTTCATAGAATTTGAAACTTCCATGAAAATCACTTTATTATAGAGAGTACCTCGACCCACTGTGTTAAAGGGTTTAATAAAAACTTAACTTAAAACTTCAAAATGTATTTTTTTTATCATGTTTGAGTTTTCAGTTGACTTTATAGTTTTGCACTTCAATATTTAAATCTTTGTTATGATCTTTATTTTCATTTCAGGATCTCTTCCACAATCCTCCATCATACAAGAGCACAGTCACTCTGTCCTGGAAACCTGTCCAGAAGGCAGAGGCAGTAGCGTAAGTGTGCTCCCACTTACTGTAATCAATGACATACCTTTAATTTGGCTGTCAGAAGCCAAACACGAGGAACCTGACTGCCCTCTACTAGATCCTCATCTGCCTTTCTTTGGTTTGTAGACCCAAGCGTCCATCAAGCGAGGACATGGGATCCGGTGGCAGCACAAAAAAACAGATCTCTCCTCAGCCCCGACGGGACGCAAGGCAAATCTACAATCCCCCCAGCGGCAAATACAGCGCCTCCATTGGCAATTTTAACTACGGTAAGTAGTATTTGTTGGACATGTTCTTTTCATTTCTTTTTTTTTCCTGTTGTGCAGCATTATTACCTTTCATTTATTTCGTACTGCACAGTGTGTAATTTGGCTCATCTTTTATTTGGCTACCATGGCTCCAGTTTTCTCAAATAAATAAAAATGGGATTTACTTGACATATTCTACCAGTAGGCTTGAAAGTGGCTTTGAGAAGTGTGTGGCTTTCTGACAGCAGCTGTACGTTTTGAACCCTAAATCCCAACAGTGAGTTTGAAAACTTTGCTTTTTTTTAAATGCTAAAATTACACCATTTATCAGAGCCAGACTATGAAACTTAAAAAAAAAAAAAAAGACCATCATCAGATTTTTAACTTTCTGAAGGTCCCTGAACTTACCGTGTTTGACTTTCACCCAATGTACTGTGATTGTGGGTTCGAGTCCAACCCATGGCATGTCCCCCTGCTATACTCCCCACCTTTCTTGGCTTTCTTCAACTGTCAGTCAGTAAAGGCTGAAAGCCATTTTTTAAAAGTTGCTATATTTACTCAAACTTGCCCAAAATAACTTGTTTCCATGAAACACAATATGTAAAAAAAGAAAGAGAGAGAAAAAAAAAAAGGTGACGTTTTTAGTGATTCAGCTGTGACCAACAGTCACGTGACAAAAACTAAAGGAGTTTCTACTGAACACCAGACTGTGTTCACACAGACCAGATAGGAGACAAGCATGGAAACAAATTAAAACTGTAAGTACTACAACATCTATAGTGTGTTACCTTTTTTCCTTTCCTTTATTGGTAACACCTGTGGGCAATCGGAAAAGTCTTAAACATGTTGATTCTAAGATTTTTTTTTGTGTTTTTGCCAAACAGATCTCTAATTTTGTTAGTTTTTTTTCTTGTTAGTTTTTATGATTTGTGACATAACTTTGTTATGCTGCAAAGAAGGAGTTTAGGTCTTTGCTTTTAGCTGCAGTTGTACTGTTTCTCTAGTGGTACAGAACTTATAAGTACGGTTTAAAATGAGCTCAAAGTGATTTAAATAATGTGACTTTAAAAAAACTAAAACGCAAACCTCATGGGGTACAAATGGTTAAAATGGCATGAAAGTTTTTAGGATTTAGTCATTCACATGTAATGAGATACTTCAGTCTTGATCAAACGGGTGAAAGACCTGACATTGCCAGTCTCACATTCATGCCTCCAGCTTGTCCTTGGTGTAACAGTATGCTGGATACTGGCTAACAAACTGTAATGCAGAAATGTCATATATGTTTGTGATCATTTGGAAACGGAATCATTATTATACAGTTTGTCAACTAAAGAGCTCTGGTTACAGCACCTCCTTTTCTCCCCCTGCAGTCTTTACCTGCTCAATAATTTTTACAACTTAATTTGTGTCCAACATGTTCGTACTGACATGCTTGTTACCGTCACATTGTCGCTCCAGAGCAACGTGGTGGCTTCAGAGGTGGCCGAGGACGAGGCTTCGGAGCCAGAGGCAGCAGGAGCCGAGGCCGGATCTACTGAGACACACAGCACATATTGCTCATTGAACTGCATCACATCAGGATCTTTTCCGCACCAAGACGGATTGTTTGTCACATGCAGTTGTTTTTTGGTTTTTTTTTGGTTTTTTTAACTGGTCTCCACGCGATTCACTTTCACAAGATTTTTTTGGTTTGTTTTTGGAATGGGGGGGGAGCTGGAGCTTTGGTCTCCTGGCTTGAGAATATCAGACAATGGGCTCTGACTTTTCTACCTGCCATTTCAGCATTTACTCCCTGTACGCCTCTCGGTCAAGGTGATAGTAACCCTAACTGTGTTTTTTTTTGTTTGTTTGTTCTGTTTTCCTCCCTAAATTTTAAACATTACTCTGTGTATTTTTGTGGAACAAAAGACTGCCAAGTTGTACCTGATAAATATTTTTGTCGGATTGTTGTAGAAAAAGATAAAGATCCTCTTGTTTTGCAACATGTTGATGATTGCATTTGTTTCTACTGTTTTATTTAATCTTGTTTTCTTTTTTTATTAGAGCTTAATTTGAATTGGCTGATTACGCTACTTTGTATGAATCAATGATGCTGTTTCATTGGATTTTTATCATAAACTTGTATGGAAGTATGAACTTTTTGTCCTTGTTTATATAGAATTTACTGTTTGTTAAATTGCAAACTTCGTTCTGGGAACAAGACGATACAACTGAATTCCACCCTACTGCTTCAGGTTTGCTTTTTTTCTCAATAAGAAACTTGACTCAGATGTTCAAAACCTTTTCCAAACATGCCCCCTTCCCCCCCATTGTTCCCACTTACCATCCATTCACTCACTCACCCACTCATTCATCCAATTTATCGTTTCCACCCTCCTGTTTTTCCTTTTCCCGCTTGTATTTGTACTCTGTACCAAAGCAGACTGAAGAGAGGGTAATTTTAGCCGATGATTTCTGGCATCCACATTTAGAATACACGTACAAACGTGCCTCCTCGGCTGTCTTCATGACTGCATCCGTCTCCCCCCCTCTTCAGTCTGGCGTGTGTGTGTGTGTGTGTGTGTGTGTTCATGTTCGTGTGTCTGCTTTGAAGTAGAAAAGTAGAATCGGGCTCTCAATAATTGAAAGGGCTATAAATAGTTGCTGCCACGTTTAGAACACACTTTATTTTACACACCCTGGTGATGGAGGCTCTGCTTGTTTGGGGCACATTCAGTCGTGCACACATCCTGCACAAAAGCACTCCTGTGCTACACTTGTGAGGACCTTTCTTATGCTACATTTATTATGTTTGAGCATAAAGTGAAAGGAATTTGAACCTGTTAATTAAACCTAGCTTTTTATAATTATTCCAGAGTCATAAAACCTGTTCTTGCACTGATTGGTTTTATGGCTAATATTCTTTATAAAAGTCTATTAGACCAAATTAACCTTAAGCCATAAACTAGTTTGATCCTTCCAGTCACAATAGTGGACTTCTAGTGTAAAATTGCCATTTTCTAAGCCTGACTTTGGGAAAGCCAAATTGCTTGTATTAGCCATTGAGTGACTTTGCAATTGACCTGGCCTCTTATTAGATTCACTTATTTTAAACTGTTCAATGTAAATTTAAGTTGTGTTGTTTTTATTTTTACAGTATTTCCCTTGAGTGTTTTTGTGGATAGTTTGTGTTATTCTGGGTCTAAATCCATACATATTAGTAAATGCATATTATCAAATATGCTGCATTTCTACCCAGCCAGGCTTACCCCAAAATCTAAATCTAAACTGTATAAGTATTTAATTAGAATTTAACCCAAACTTAACTCCATACTCGTTTGTAATCCTCAAGTAACATGAGTTTCTATCTTTATCACAACCAGAACCTTGTCCAGTGCTACCTTCAAACACCAGGCTTAATCCTATAATGCATGCAGAATAGAAAAACAAGGAAACATCCACATGCACTCCTGGTTCCTCTAAAGACACACACACACACCTCCACACACACTGAGCTCTCAGAGGGTGCTACAGGTCTGCATGTGCAGACACGTGTGCTGGTGTGTGTAGGTGGATGCTTTAGGGGAGGAGGGGCGCTCAAACTCTCAATTTTCTGAATCGACTGTGGCAGCCTTTTGCAGTGAGGCAACTCTGAATGGTTTAAGCTGAACCTCCAAACCATTAAAAAAAAATGTTACACATTAATGGAAGAGATCAGATGTGTGCATGAAGCTACCATCAATGTTTGTCTGTGTCTGGAAAGCGACGAAAACCATTTGATTCAAACACTCCAGCATCAGTGTAATTTAAGATAAATGGTAGCTGAAATTGGGGGTGAACATGAAGACAAGGCACCGTTAGATCGACTGATGCTGTTCTTAATTAAGATAAAGACATAATAGAAAAAATCCATAATTTAAGAATATATCCCAACATTTAAAAATGCAGCATTTCAAACTAGACAAATCTGCATCATCCAGAGGTTGCATCTTTGATTCTTTGCGCACTGTTGGTATTTAGGACACTGATGCGCATTTATTGCAAAAAAAATAAACCTTAAGACAAAAGAAGCTTGTCCACGGATCGTCTCCTGTTTTAGCAGAGTCTCCCCTCTAGAGGGCGATCCAGACCAGGGTTTTCCTCTCAGAGCAACCAGATCTATTTTTATCCCACACCGAACGAGTCACTTAAAGCTTTCATGATGTCTTTTTGTCTCTCTTTGTATTTCTGCTCAGGTTAAGGCGCATGCAGGAACACTGCGACCCGACATGAGAGGAGCTAAAAAATCTTCTTAATTAACCCCTCTTCTTTTCATGACTCACAGGGAAATATTAGGATGTGTTTAGCAGATCCTGGTCATTGTGCTGAATCAGTGCTGAAACCAACTGGGGCTGCAGCGCATCACAGATTAGTTGGATGCAATATTTGTCTAAGGGTCAGAAAATACCCGGTGATGCAATAACTGTCCAGATTTGTTTATATCTCACAATATTATTTCTTCCTTTTTGCTAATTTGCTTTTTCATCATTACTGAGCTCCAGTCTGATGTTGTATTTTTGCACAGATACAGTACAGCTTTTGGCATAGGCATCATGATGCGTTTAAGCCTAAATTTAAGTTCCTTTTTCAGGACAGTAGGGGGCGCTATGTGACCAAGATAAACCCCTCCGTCATTGATCGTGACCAGGTATTTCCCAAACCAGCCTACCAGCCAGTCAGCCAGCCAGCAAATGCCTGGCACATGCTTTTGCGAGCGCGCACAGACACACAAACGGCGGAGCTGAAAATAATCAAGTGGTGGAGGAGGAGTGGGCGGCAGCAGCGGGAGAAGAAACGAAGACGACCCTCAGAGAGAGAAAGAGAGAAGGAAGCAGCGACTGTAGGAGCCCATGTGAGAGTAGAAGTGAAGGTAAATCAATAGTCCTGAAGCACTTGGTGGAACTCGATGGGTTTCCTCACTTTATTAACAACATTTGGGAGGGGATGTTGTTGTTAGTGGTGATAAAAGACCTTCATCCAACAAACCTGAGGCACACTTATCATGAATGGGTGAATAGTTACCATAACTTTTTCATAGTCAGTAGTTTTCAATGGCAGTTTTTGTGATTGTGTTGCAGGTATTGTGTTGTAAAGTATGAGATGACTGTTGTGTTTGCCTGCTTGTGTTGCATTCAGTGCTGCTATTTTGGCTGGAAAAACAGTCCTAACAACAGAATATTGGAACATCCTGGAAAGTATGAAGTGAATAACATGCTAAAGTCTGTTTTCTTTACAGATACTATCGGTCTTCAGGGCTGACTGCATTATTTCCCCACCAGATTTCCAAATTCCAGCTAAATCGTGTATACATAAAAATCTCAGGTATATGTAACTCTTTTAACCTGAGGCCACAACAACTGAGTCCAGTTTTCTTTACAGTAAGTGAGAAGTGACTGCAGTGCTAGGTTGGAGTGGACTCATGTCAGTGTAAATGTAGGCTGATGCAGCTGCCATTGAGGTCAGGTGAGGGATAGATAGCAAAGTGAAGCTGCTCAGTTTCACACCAGTCAGTTCATAGGTCTTCCTTTGTGTCTGCAGATGAATAAATAACACACTGAAGACCTTTAATCAAACCATATATCACACTTTAACCAGATATCTCCTTACTGACCAGCATCAGAGTGTCATATGAACTCCACTGCTAATCAACAGGGACAAGACTGAAAATATGTTTTGATTAGGAAGGTTAATAACTCAGATCATGACCCCAGAGTGGGATTCATGGGCGGTCAACAGCTGAAAAGACTATGGCTGAAAGTTTTGGCACCAAGTACCATTACCATAACTTGCTAGTATAAATAATCCCCCCCCACCCCCCCGCTCCTGTTCACCGCTCCCTGACCTGAGTCTGCCAGGAGCTGTCCGCGGTGCTGAACCGCTCTGGGCACATGAATGGGAGCTGTCCTTAGTGCTGAAACCCCTCCTTCAGACTGCAAACTTTTGGACAAATATAATATGTCATTCACAATTGGACTTGATTGAAGTTTAGAGGATCTATTTGCTTTTGGAGACCGCAAAGTTGTCAGAGCTCAAGACTCAGGTGTGTAAATAAGGTGCAAGTTAAATGGTATCTTGTCACACATCTTGAAAACGTTTAATAAGATTCTCTCAGATGTCAACCGGAGACCAGCAGTGCTTTGCTGAAGGACACTTCAGCAGGGTCGCCTTTTAAATTCACCAATCCAAACTTAACTCCCCCCACCTCTCGTCGTCGTCGCCCTTCATTCTTGGAATCGTGACAGCCTTAACTGCAGCGTCCCTCGACTAATAAGTTGTCAGTGGCAGATAGCAGGAAGGAATGTACGCGCAAAAATAAATCAGTTGTGAAAAGGGAACTTTTTCTTCCCCTTTATTTAAAGAAAAAAGAAAGAAACGAAAGAAAGGAAAAAAGAAGAAAAAAAAAAGAGAGAGAGAGAAAAAAAACAAACCCTGCAACGCCCGCCCCCTCATGTACAATGCTGGGAATAGTAACAGCACTGTGAGGCTGGGCTAAATATAGCAGCCAGTGAGTGTTAACATGTCAACTTCAGCTGGAGTGCAGGGAAGCGGCTGCTGCACGTGTGACCGCTGTGGATGTACACAGTTTGGCTATAAATACTAACCAGCCATTGTCCCTGCTACCGTGTGTTAAATGCACACCAAGCCGGGTTGGTTTATTTAAGGGGAGGGGAGAAACACACACAAAAAAAGGGGTTTGATTGAACGTGAGAAACACAAATGACCAAATATACAAGACAACAATGCGCTGATGTCGCCTTTCCAAACACCAGAGAACACTTACAAGCCCTTTAACGAAGAGTTTTTTTTGTTTTTTTTTTTGTTTGTTTTTAACAACGTTTGATATCTCACAAGTGAGAAATCAAAAACGGCGATTGTGCTGATTTCTTTGTTTACTTTTAGTCTCATACCGCCCAAAAGCGATATATATAAAAACCCTCTACACTGATGATCAACCGCATCATCCGCCGTTTCTCCCCTCATGTATTCTCACAATCCCGTTGATGAAGGACGGGTTTGAAATTCAGCTTTTCTGAATCTCAGAGAGCGGATGGGGGTGGATGATAGATTTTAGAAGGGGGGAGGAGGGGAGCAGTTTATTTTTATCACGGCCGCCTTTCAAAAATAGAAGGTAGTCTAAAAAAACATAACTCATGAGTTCTTCTCAATCGAACACGCTTGTGCAGCAAACCGTGTATTTATTT